TTTAGCAGTTTTTCCAGGTTTTTTTTTAAATCTACTTAATGTATGACTTAAATTCGTTCATAAAACATAGGAAGAAGGGCTTATTATCCCTCCACTACAGTGAATATGGTACTTTGCATAACTATATTTATGGCATCAGAGAAAGCTGAGCTTAAGTTATCCACATAAAACAAAATGGCATCAGCATCAAAAGAAGGTTAAGTTTGAGATTAATCCAGTTTCTGATGTCTGTCCAAAAACTTTGTATTGACATGAAACAAACAAATTCTCGAGGGATTCAATTTATTTGTTATCAGCTCCTTCGTGGCATCAAGAGCAGCCTTTTTCTCCGCCCACAAGGGGCGGGGCTAGCAACGAAACACGTCTCGACGGGGGAACTTAACTCGACGTAACACCGTAGCGCCGCCATATTGTTTTGCTTCGTTGTCAGTAGTGAGGAGCTGCTGGTTCGGAGCGGAGGGCGGTAAGAACCGTTTTACCTTTAAGGCTTCGTGTTCTTTCAGGTTAGAGGTTCGGTGGGTTCTGCTGTCTCCACCTGGGTCAGTTCTGTGTAGCTGGCTGGTTACCTGAGCAGGTGAAACTAAACCAGTCTGCCTTTTAAACCTCACACCTGAAGTTAACTAACAACATGAAGGTGTCGGACACTGACTGCGGAGGTGCGGCTGTTCGGTTCCGCAGGTTTAATGTCAGTCCAGATTAAGTGAAGTTCGTTTGGGTTCGTAAGAAAGCTGCGGACAGAAACACGAACACAGATCCAGCTGTTCCTAAAAGTTATCTAGTCTGAGTAAAATCAGAGATCACGATGGGTTTTGTTTAAGGTTTGCTTCTTTGATCGATTTCATGCTCAAACTGGGCTGAGATTCTGACAGCAACACATTTGTTACTGGGAAAAACGAAGAAGCTGAAAATGACTTAAAGCTAAACGAAGCAAAACATTAGCTAAAGGAATCAGAACGCTAAGAGCTAAAACAGACAGAAGACTAGCTGAAAGAGGCTGAGGACTATAGCTGAAAGAGGCTGAAGACTAGCTGAAAGAGGCTGAAGACTAGCT